CCCCAAAAAAAAAAAAAAAATCTGAGGTATTTTTGAGTTTGTAATAATGTCATAATAATGTCAAGATCTTATTTACATTTTACTTTTTTGGAGGGACAAGTAATAGAAGCAGTAGTCAGCAAAATATGTTACCAAGAACACATTTAAAGAATAAATCTTTGTTTATCATGATATTATAGCTAAACTCTCATAGCTGCCTTTAAAATTGTTTTTTGACAGTGATTTCATGTGTCTGTTGTGGAAACCATGGTGCCTTAAGCTGGTTGTCTGAGTAATGCTTTTCTGTAACTGCTAATGAATGCTACTATCCAAAATTGATTTGACTGTTAAGCTGCTGTGTCAAGGATAGAGAATGATGGCAAAGGGAAAACTTGAAAAATTGTTAGTTTGCTCACAACTTTCACCTGAAGTTTGAAGTATGGTTACAGTGAACTAACAAACTGCTTTTTGTATGTTTGACATTTTCTCTAGCTTGAAGATGTTACATTCGTTTGAGTGTACTTATCCATGCATGTGATTTAAGATGAAATATTGTATATCAATTATTTAAATTCATATATAATTCCTAGCGCAGTATAAACTTTATGAAGGTTTATATTTTTGTATTATGTACAAATAACTGTTTATTTCAACTGATGTTGCTGCACTGTACCATTAATAAATGAACTGTAACTGAGGAAGTTATAATTCTACTCATAAGTTTTCTGATTGATTGTACGTCATACAAATCATCTTTGCATATTCCTTAGCATATTCTGATAGATGCACTGTGAATTTCTTTCATTACTCTGCTTAAATTTCTTTCAGCTTCAGGAAGGAAGAATTCTATTCTTCATGCTTATAAACTTAGTGCCACAGTATTTGAGTCACAGAGATGATAACCTTAGATATTTGCACTTTACATGCAAGGCACTGGAAACGGCAAGTGAGGCATAAAGGGGTTTCATATCTTGCTTCACCTAAACTAGAGGACCACTGATATGTTGAAGTTTGAGCAATATAAGCATTTCCATAGTTTCAAATTTTTTAAAAATAAAATGTGGGCTTTTTTCTCAATTTAAATTGACTGTCTCCTTTTGAAGTCTATTACTGTTCTGAAATGAAGTTTGTTGACAATGTGAGAATGTCAGTATCAGAATTCTTTTTTTTTTTCTTTTTTCAAAATGCATGTCAAAAATAGTGCCACGGTTATTCAAGTAAGACTAAACTTCCTTGAGGTCTTACTAGCCTAAAGAACATATGCTTAGCAGATGTTAAAATGCAGCATGACTTCATGTATAGAAAAACTTAAGACCTAATCTGCACAGAAAAATAGTCTGGAATAGTTATTCACACTGGCTTCTTGTATGGCTAGTTACTTTCTGAATTGGGAGTCTTCCTAGGAACAGACATGGAACCTTTATTCTGTTGGTATTCTTACATAGGGAACCTGTCCCAAAGTATGTAATCTAACTTCCTCTAAAACTAAATGAAAATGAAATCTAGCCCACTAAAACTTGAAGCTTGCATAAAAATGTCCTGTTTTTTTCTTATAGACTTATTCTATTCTTATAAAAATTAGAATAGTTATGTTAAATTGTTACTTACATGAAAATATATTCACATTATCTTTTAATAACTCATATACATTTTGTGAATGTGGAGGCTGTTGAACGTAGTTTTCCAAACGAAAAAAAAATTCAGGAAAATGTCATTGGTAGCATTTCTGCTGAAGAGTGGAAGTTGAGGTTGCAAAATATCAGTAAACTAGACATCACATCTGCTGCATTTGTGTTGAGAGGTTGTCCTGAGCCAGAGGAGATTAAAGTTTTTATTTTTAAATAGATATAGACATATATCTGACAACTATGGGTAAATATAACAATCACAAAGGTGCAATAGGTGAATTTTGAAAGTTTGCTCCAAAAGAATTCCTAATGTTTTTCATGTCTTGGCACACAGCGTCTTTTTCCTAGAATGCTGTTTCTAGAGCAGTATGTAGGGAGAGTAGGTGTCCTTTTAAATTTTTATTCTGCCTTGGACTATCTCAGCAATTCTTGGAAATAATTTGCTCTGTTTCTGTTTTGTGAGAATCGCCACTTTGTTGTGTAATAGTCAAGCTTATTGCCAGTGTTGCTGTTCAATAATTCTTGTGTTTAAGGAGGCTTATGATAATAACTAGGCTCCTAAGGTGCTTTCCTCTGCCATACCCAGCAAAGTTATTTGTCAGTCCTATGCAAAGCTTGGTGAGTGTGATTACAAAAAAAAAAAAAAAAATTTAAAAGTACTTAGAGGTTGTTCAAACTCATTAAAATATACCTGCAAACCTCTGGTACTCTTGGGACTTTTTGTGTTTTACTCAGAATTTCAGAGCTCCATCCTTAGAATTCATAGCCTGAAACCTACAAATAGATTTGTCTCTATCCTTTCTTTCAAAACCTTTTAAAACTGCTTGCTGCTTTTAGAAGTCAGATGGAAGAAGCTTCCTTCTTATATTCTGGTTCAATTGTTAAAACATTCATCTAGGTCATGGCAAAGGTGCATCTGCTGCTGCTGAAGGGGAATCAAACCTGTATCTTAAAGCACACTAATCTATTTGGTTCTGGCCTCTTTTGGGGGAAAAGTTCCTCTTGTACTTTCATGCTTGGCAACTGTTTATATGCAGCCCTTTATATAATCTCTATATAATACAATTGAAGTTGCATCAGGAAA